TTCGGTTCTTGTTCGATTCTTCGGTTCTTGGTCTAGACTCGAGACCCGACCCAAACCCATCGGTTCTCGATTCGGGTACCCGTTCGGGTATTTAATTTATGAAGAACCGCTCGGTTCGGGACTTTTGGACACCCCTAATTTCAAGTTAGTCCTTAAAAGTTTTTTTTTTTTTTTTTAACTTTGTTTGTTATTGAAGATGTGTTATACAAATAGTCACTTGGTCAGTGAAAGTAACCAATTCAACATGGCATCCATTAAATTTCAAGGTGAACTAATAGGCTTTAGTTACAATTTATATCCTACAAATTCATTTTTTCATTAGACCTTTTTGTGGTTTATTTTTAACCCTTTATTGTTCAGTTTCAACCCATTCATTGTTTTTGAGTAGGGATGACCAAATATCTTGTCCTAACTTTCATCTTTAGTCAAAGAATTGAGGTGATTATTGAAAACATGGTCTCCGCCCCAAACCTACCGGACCACCCCAAACTATTATTATTATTATAGTTTAATTTTTAAATAAATTTAAATTTAAATCTTATTTTAAAAATATATAAGTAAATGGAAAACGATGAGTGAGGACATTTTAAACTCCGTTTGACCTGTCCCCATCTCACCTTCGAAATCCCAAGCATGGGGAAATGGGATGGCTGCTTGCCTCGTTGCCATCGCTCTTTTTAAGGAAATTAAGGATTTATGCATTTGTTTGGGTGAACATAAAAAATTTGAATAATTATAAAATATATTATTATTATTATTTATTAATTTCTAACTTACTTTTAAATATTTTATTTTCAAAAAAATATTATTTTTTATATTTTACCATACATTTTGTAATACAGTGGATTACAATGTGATATTATCTTGCACACTTTTCATCATCAATTTTCATCGCCGCTGTCATCATCACTTGTGACATCATGTGTTAAATATATTTTGCCATCTATTTTAACCGTAATTGTGATCGTTGCAACTATCAACACCACTTATAACATTAAATATTACACTATGATTAGTGGAGAGAGCTCTTGGACCCTGGCCAGTTTGGGGCACATCCCGCGGTTTACCTGATCCACGTTTTGAGGATCCAAGGCATAGACCCCACAATTAGTCGCCAAAGTTGGACACCTGAGTATCAAAAAATAAAAAATATAACACTATCAACATTGATTCCACTACTTATAACATTTATTGTTACACCATAGTCGCTACCGTCGCACCACCGATAACATTTGTTGTTTTATCACCATCGTTGAATCATCACCATTGCTTCCACCACACCATCTGTAAAATATCATGTTACAATATTATCATCAATGCTGCCACTTTGTGTTACACCCACTGCTCGTGCCACCATCGTTGACGGCTTGCGCCATCACCATCAACAACAAACTCTTTGATCATACATCACCACCACAAACAACCAAATTTGACGCCGCCAACACCAACACCATCGCCAACAACAACATGACCATCTCTTCTAACCGCCACAAAAATAAAAGCACATGCACGTTGATACATCAAACGTATTTGATTTTAGTATGGACGGCAAAGAAACCTCTTCCGGTACCAACACCTCAAACTCAAAGCTTCATCCAAAGTAAACTCCATAGGATCAATGCCTCATCCAGGTTGGTGGTTGTGGGCTGCATGGATTTCAGACTTGGGAAGGCAATAAGCGTGGTGGTGATTGGTGGTAGTGGTGGTTCGTTGACCGCTGTGTTAATGGAAGATAGTGGTGGTGCTTGGTGGTAGTTGGCGCTGCTTGGTGGAGGCTGTGTTTGTATGTGTTTTTGTGCATGAATAAGTCTGCATTAGATCTTGTGTTTGTTTGTGGAGAATAGAAATTTACAGACTAAAAAAATATTTAAGAAATCAGGGTACTAACTACTAGGTGTAATTTCATCTTAATTAAATTAAAAAAATCGAACAAAAATCATCAGCCCACCTAAGCATTTAAGTGGTGTCACGTTGGAATTGACATTACTCAATGGAACGATCATTTATATAGTACGAATAAAGTTTAGTAACTAGACAAGTTAAAAATAGTATTTTAAACATTATCTTAAAATTATGAACATTGCTTCACTTACACACATTGGTACACAATCTCCTACACAACCCTCTCACATGTGTGTGGGTCCCACAATGTGGGGCCCATTGTGGACCCCCACACACATGTGAGAGATTTGCGTAGGAGATTGTTTACCAAGTGTGTACAAGTAGCATTTTTGTAAAATTATGTACGAACTTTTCTCATGTTTGAAAAAAATTATAATTTCATTATAATATAAAATTAAAGTCTACATTAATTTAAACTATACCCAATTGAATTATCAAATTTTGTGGAGAAGCAATTTATAATTATGACTGGACTTCTCCTTGAAATGCTAGGAAGATTTGTACTTGGACAAATTTTACAACAGCACGTTCAAATCCAAATTTTTTTTTTTTTACATCAGCACATTAAATCCAAGACTCCGTCGATGCTTTCTTGAGGATGAAGCCTTAAAGTAGCCGAAAACATTAATTTGTTCAAACCCCAAAAGAAAAAGCAAAACAGAAAAAAGAGTGGCAGAGAGAAAAGATAAAGAAACACAACAGAACTGAAAAGAAATATAACTTGATACCCTCGTATTTGGGAAAACAATGTTTTGAATAGGATTTTTAGGAAAATGTATGGTTAAAAAGTAAGAAAAAATTTTAAATTTATATGCAAAATATTTTATTGCGTTGAATGTATTGTTAAAAACGAGTTTGTAAAATAAAAATCTTTCAAATAATAGTTCACAAACTCCATTTCTCCTCTCTCTATAGATACACAAATCACCACCCATAAAACACATTTTCATCATAGGCAGCCATGGCAGCAGCAGCGGCGGCTGCAGCTTTGTCGAAGGTGTTAGTGGTGGCGGACCTGATATTCTTGTTGTGCACCGCCACCAATTTCTCAGCTTCAATGGTGACGGCAGCCACCTGGTGTGTGGCCAGGAGTGATGTCATCGACCAAACTTTACAAACGGCTCTTAATTACGCATGCGGGGCAGGTGCAGACTGTGCACCAATTCAATCTTCTGGGATGTGTTATCTTCCGAATACACTTCAAGCCCATGCCTCGTATGCCTTCAACAATTATTTTCAGCGCAGGGGCAATGAACCTGGCTCCTGCTCATTTGCTGGCACTGCCACCATAGCTAAAACTGACCCAAGTTTGTACTCCCCACTCTACAATTTTTTTCATACCTTTTGCATAAGAAGTTAGTTATCTCTGTTTTCTTTTTTTTTTCTCTGATTTTATTTGGGAATTTTATCTTTCAGGCTACGGATCCTGTGTCTATCCATCATCTCCAAGGTATTTTTCTTTAAAGCTTTTATTCCTTTTCCGAAAGCTGGTTATTTGCCTTCTAAATTGCTGTCATAACTAGTTGTAAGAATCTTGATTTACTGCGCTTTGGTAAAGAAAAAAACCCCAGCAAAATCTTTAATGAGAATATTCTAATTATTGATGAACTGTATTATTCTTCTTGATTATGGCTTTAATGTGTGAAAATGATCAAATGTTTCCAAACAGAGGGTACAAAGAAGAAACAAAGAATAAAAAACTAGAACATCGGAATAATGACGAAGGCTTAAAACACGATTATCGTTGTCCTCAAACAATATTTGCCCCCTCTCAAATTGAATTTGATACTTAAAGGGATATTAACAAATGATTTGAAGGATTAATTAACCCTTGTAATATAAAAACAGTTAAGCGCTTAATGTTTTCTACCAAAACTTCAAGAACACATTGAAATAAATTTGAATATAAAGAGTGATGTAAATTCTATCTTTTGAAATGAAAATTTGATCTAAAGTTGTTGAATTATGTCATGATGTGATAATCTATTATGTATTTATTGATTTCAATCAACATCTACGAAATAGTGCCAAAAAACCATGAAAAGTTGCAAGCTTTTCACCAAAGGCCATCAAGAATTCAAACAAAAATTAGGCTTAACGGCTGTTTCTTAGTTCTATGCGACAGCATAGAACATACCTATGCGGTCGCATAGATTAATCACTTGCAGAGCATATAAACCTTGCACGTTTGTATGTGACTACAAGCTACAAAGGCCTATGCGGTCACATAGGCTAAAGTTTTGGCTTCTAAATCTTTTTTTCATTCCAAAGCCAATTTTATTGATTTTGAATAACAATTTCAATAATTTCCAACTTGTTCAATATTCAATAAAATCTCATATTCAAAATGTACAATACTTATGCATAAGAATTATATATCTTTGGATTTGAATTTAACTACAATGTAATTCAAACAAAGTAAAGTCGAAATCAAAGATAGCAAAAAACCTTTGAACCAATTATTCCTTTTAGCAATACCAGTAAGAACACACACACACACACACACACACACAAGTATCATGTATTCTCAAGTTCCTCAATCTCGCTTAGCGCTGATATAGTCTTGCGCTTATCCTATTCAACGAACTTTTAAAAGAGAAATTCCAACTCTCTGCTGAGGCGGCACCACCTCGAAGTTTATTTAGGTGAGGTTCTTCCAGTATCTATGTTACTTTTAAGATACTTGTTCTTAATACTGA